CTGACTGAGGAGGGAGAGACAGGGACTAAGGACTCAGGGGAAAAAAAACGATTTATTAATGGGACCACAAAGATGAAGATTAACTAACCTGGGGAATAAAATCCAAAACAAAACCGAGGAGCAGGTAGAACAATATGGAATCATGGAAGACAGACTGGTAGCATGTTCATGGTCTCTTTGTTGCATTATTTAATGATTATATTTCTACGTTTTTAGACATCTTTTGTTAATGTTTCAATGAAAATTTGGATTCAATATAAAAACTCTAACCAGGTGGTCATGTTTACCAATCAAAGCCTCTAAAGAAATGCAGCATTGAAGCAAGCGTCACCACAACCGTTTGCCACATGTGCCTTTGGTCTACCGACTGCTTTCTGCTGACTGCACATTTTCAGGCTCTTCGGTGTTGTCTCGTCTTCTTTTGGACACTTTGTAAATATTCGTTTTAAATCTTTTCGGCCTCCATGGTACAGGTTGACACAACCAGGAATCAGGGAAGACAGAATGGTGGTAAAAGAGGAAGTGACCAGAAAAAAGAGGAGGGTTAGAATAAAAAACAAAACAGGAAATGACAAGACCAAAGCAAAACAGACTGAAAACAGAACTAAGTGCCACTTTTTTTGTCGCATGGATGAGAAAACTGCTGCTCTGTGATGCCGGAATACATCCCAAAAATGACAAAAACAACAACTTATACATCACTTTTATTTAGACACTCAGAAGTAAGGAAAGACGCACAGACGGTTGGTCATGCTGAGAGGGACACACATTTATTGATTTATTTGATTGGAGTTATTTGAAATCATTTTAAATCAGATTTGTAGTGATGTCATCGAGGCCTGACACTTGGAAGGGGGAGTGGGGGGTGTCTGGACACATTTAGGCATTTTTGGCACAGATGAAAGCGGACCTTCTCTGGCAGGGTTCATCATTGACGTAACCACTTCCTGTAGAGAAGGTAAGAATAATAAAGAGTTAATGCAGAAGTTCTCCCCAGACAAGCTTTTATTTAGCTTTTTTTCTTGCTGAATCTAATTTAAAATGTGACTTTCATTAGTAAAGCCTCAGAATTCAGTGAGTTGGTACCTGCATTCCTGATCTCCATGCAGGGCTCTTTTTGGCCTCGATAGTTGTTGGGTTCCCCGCGACCCCAGGAGGTGAAAGTAAATGGTGAGCCGTCGCTCCACATCCACACGTTATCCTGAGATAAAACATTTCAGAAGCAAAGAGTGAATGCTAAAAAAAAGATCTGAAAACTCCTCCTTTATCAGAATAAGGAAAGACATCTAATTCTCTGTAAATGAGCTCTATTCCAGCAGATATTACAGAGAGAAGTGGAAGCATGTGTTCATGTGCTGGAAACAGCTTCACCATGCAGGGGACACCCTAATAGGAACCCTAATTCAGGATGTGCCTGGTCACCTGCACAGCGTCATGGCCTCCGATCCAGGTCCTCCTGCTGCGTCCTCCCTTCTGGATGATCAGCTTCTTCAGGAAGGTGAACTCATCGTTGGACTGAATTGAGGCCAGGTTCGCCTTCTGTGAAATGCAGAAACGCTACGAAGAGACACAAAGGGCAGAAACATGGAGATGAGCAAGGACCAAAGGGCCTTTCTGAGAGTCATGGAGGTCCCACTGAGTGGAAGCTGTCAGCCCCCCGGACTCCACCATCACCATGGTGATCTCCTGGTTATTAAGGATGTTCTTCACAGTGTTGTGGTCTCACCTTTAACTCAGTATTTGTGGTTTAATCAAGCTGTTTTAGCACTTTTAAAACTTCTCATTGGTCCATGCTGCTGTTTCAGGGCCATTTATTCAGTTTGATGTGACGTTTCCTCATAAAGTTACAGAAAACATGTAAACCCTGACCCTAAGCAATTTACTCTCCTCTGCCCTCATGCTAGGTCACTGAGACCTGCTCTGCCTCCCTCTGCAGACTCCAGATGTTCAGCAGGTACCAGGAGAGGGGTATGGTCCACTCACTTTGTTTGACTATTGTAACGCCCTCCTGACTGGTTTCCCAGCCTGTACAGTAAAACCTTTACAAATGATCCAGAAGTACTACTACTCTTTTTGCACTTCCCTCTCTTTCTCTTTGCTGTCACCACTGACTCTGACTGGGGATTTTCCTCTAGAGAACTTATTGTCATATTGATGATAACTGTAAAATTGATTAAAGCGTCTGCTAAATGCATAAACATAAACAACATAAACTCTCTCTGTGTGGACTGTAGAGTGCATGTTTCTCAGCTGTACCTCAGCATCAGCCCAGGTCTTCCCACTGCCCACAAACAGGTATCAGAAGCCGTCGTTGTTAGTCCAGCCAGCGGGGCAGTCTGTGAAGGAGGTATCTGCAGACAAGAGGAGGGTTGGCTGAGAGCAGCCTGGTGGAGTTCATGCTCTTTGTCCATTTGCCGCCATTAAGAGGAATGAGAACACTGCAAGAAGCCAGTTTCAGCCCGCTTGTGCTTTGTGCTTCTGCAGGGGTGAACTAACTACAAAGACGTATTTATGGGATTATTTACCATCATGCACCCATGAACTGACAGATTTTTAGCACCACTTTTACTGATTTCTATCCTAAAAATACAGGAAATCAGAGCGGCTGCCCATCGATGGCTCAGCCCAAGTAGTCATAAACATCACAATCAAACACTGAAATGGATTTGATTTGATGATGGAGGCCCCCTCTGGCACCTCCGTGGACCAGTGGGCTGCAGTTCATCTTAGTTTGGTCAAGAGTTCTGCGTCATTTGCTTGACCCTGCCCTGGTTTCCTCCAGCCTTTTCTGAGCCTCCTGTCCTGAACATGCAGGTAAAGCACTCACCTGTCCTTTTGGGGCATCTCGCCTGTGGATTGAAGAGATGGGATTAGAGATTTACTCCGGTGGGGAAAGTGGTCCAAATGGGACCGCCATCAGCACACAACGCTGAATTTAAGACAATAAGAGCAAAGGAAATCCTTACATTTGCTCCCACCCAGAGGACGCAGCTCAGAAAGAGCAGCAGAACGGGCTGAAACCCTGTTTTTGCCATCTGATTAAAGCAGAGAAGGACAGGAATCAGTCAGCTTTCTTTCCAAAACTTCAACTCGTGGCCTTTCATTGCTGCAAAGCCAAGAAGATATGAGACATCATTTGCAGGAAAACAAGTCAATCTTTACCTTGTGGGGACTTTAGTCGATCAGGTTGTTGCTGCTTCAGAGTCTGGTGACTGAATGCCTTCAGGAAGCCAAGGCAGTGTTTATATACC